CTCCGAATCCATGTTAAATTGTATATTATAAACAATTAAGCGTAAATATAAGTTAGATTTCCGGTCTGAAGTAAATTAAGGCAATATCGAACAAACGCGCGGAGTGCAAAAGGTTAAGCTTTCATACCTATAATAGGGACACCAATGTTACAGTTACAGTCATATCCCTTATTGTGAATAAGGTTAGCTAGAATGTACCTGTATGTGATAGTTGGTTTTTATAAACTAGTTATAAAACAGTAAAATCGATATAATAAAAGTTGCAACACTTTTTTTCGATAAGTTTCATAACGCACTTGGTGCCATCCAACAGGAAAATGTATTTCTTGAGAATTACTAAAAAATGAATTCTCTTACTAAAAGCGAGGCGAAATTCATCGAAAGTGTCGCGATTTTTATTATAACGACTGTATGTCGAATAAGAACTAAACGGATAAGTATAACTCCTAAGTCTGGTCTATTTTGGTATAATTTTTATACTTAATAAAAAAGGGAAAGTTCATAAAAACCTAAAAACATGCAATCTTGTGTCTAAAATTATAAAAACTGCAATTGACATTTGAACTAATTAAATATTAAATGAAGAACAGTTTTCTTTCTTTGCTGTAACAATTTAATTTTTAGGTAATTACTAATATCTCTGATGATAAACGTAACGAGAACACACGTTCCATTAATTCAAAATGTAATTATGCGGTGAGTATATTATTTATTTTGGGTCGACTTGACATACTTGCTGCATATATTGAATGACTGAATGTCTAAGATCAATACTCTTACATCGTACACTTCATGGGTTTTTATTCACATCTATTTGCCATGGTATAAAACTGCGTATGATAACAGACGAATATAAATATATACGAAGTCTCTGAAAGTACAAAACTCAATAGCGCTAAGAAGTCTAGATCCGTATAATAATCAGGGGGTAGTGCGAGACGACATGATTTATATGATAATAATTTATTCAAAATATAGGTAGAGCGACCGCTGGTTTACGAGCGGTTATACATTGGATGGTAAGGGCGCGCGTGAATTAGTAATTGAAAGTAAAGTATACTATAGAAAAACACATAGTGAAAATAATAAATCATGGTTCAAATTTACCACGCCATGCGCGGTATTATCGCAAGGCCAACAAAAAGCGCGCGCGCGCTCCACAAAATTCGGAACTGAAGTCTGTAAAAAATAGATACAAAAGAGAGATAACGTAGAGTTAAGAAGCTGGGTGAAAGGGTTGGTGTGTCGTGTTGCGTTATCGCACGTTATCGGTCGAGAGAAAGGGCAGAGATAGAACGGTAATTTCCGTCGAGTGTTGTCTATCTTCTCTAGTTCTCATCGACCTCGGCTTCCTGCTCCTCGTCGAACTCTGCGTCCTCGTCCGCGGTAGCCTCCTGATACTGCTGGTATTCCGACACCAGGTCGTTCATATTGGACTCCGCCTCGGTGAACTCCATCTCGTCCATACCCTCGCCAGTGTACCAATGGAGGAAAGCCTTTCTCCTGAACATGGCGGTGAACTGCTCGGAGATACGCTTGAACAACTCCTGAATGGCAGTGGAGTTGCCGATGAACGTAGCGGACATCTTGAGACCACGTGGCGGAATGTCGCAGACGGCGGTCTTGACGTTGTTCGGGATCCATTCCACGAAGTACGAGCTGTTCTTGTTCTGGATATTGAGCATCTGCTCGTCGACCTCCTTCATTGACATTCTGCCGCGGAAAATGGCAGCGACTGTGAGATACCTGCCATGCCTGGGGTCGCACGCGGCCATCATGTTCTTCGCATCGAACATCTGCTGGGTAAGCTCCGGCACGGAGAGAGCTCTGTACTGCTGGCTGCCACGAGATGTGAGGGGCGCGAAACCGGGCATGAAGAAGTGCAGACGGGGGAAGGGTACCATGTTCACCGCGAGTTTCCTAAGGTCGGCGTTCAGCTGACCAGGGAACCTAAGGCAGGTCGTGACACCGGACATCGTTAAGGAGACGAGGTGGTTCAGATCGCCGTACGTTGGCGTCGACAGCTTCAAAGTGCGGAAGCAGATGTCGTAGAGGGCTTCATTGTCAATACAGTAGGTTTCGTCCGTGTTCTCAACCAGCTGATGAACGGACAACGTAGCGTTATACGGCTCGACGACCGTATCGGATACTTTGGGCGAGGGTACGACAGAATATGTATTCATAATCCTGTCGGGGTACTCCTCGCGGATCTTGGAGATCAGCAGAGTGCCCATACCAGAACCGGTACCACCACCGAGAGAGTGGGTGAGCTGGAATCCTTGCAGACAGTCGCAGCTCTCAGCCTCCTTCCTTACCACGTCGAGAACAGAGTCCACAAGTTCGGCACCCTCGGTGTAGTGGCCCTTCGCCCAATTATTGCCAGCACCAGACTGTCCGAACACGAAGTTATCCGGTCTGAAGATCTGCCCGAACGGTCCAGAGCGCACGGAATCCATTGTGCCGGGTTCCAGATCGACGAGGATGGCACGCGGCACGTACTTGCCGCCAGACGCCTCATTGTAGTAAACATTGATCCTCTCCAGTTGTAGGTCGGAATCACCATGGTAGGTGCCGGTCGGGTCGATGCCATGCTCGTCGCTGATGATCTCCCAAAACTGCAAGAACGTTTTCATGTTAATTCATGATGAAACTCACACTAATATATAAATATCTGCACAGCATACATTTCTGAAAGACCTCTTAAAGATATTTGAAAAATATAAGACGTCCTTTGAATATATTTGAAACACCTCTTAGAAATTGGTGCTGTCTGGGTATCTACAGTTCAGAGAAATGATGGTCAACTGACGAAATCGGGTACACCGGTGAGGACGAAATTACAGTCCCAACGTGATACGATCCTGTACTGTTGTTTCGGTGGATCGTGAACATTCGACTATCTCGGCTGAACTCGATCGCGGAAAGAAGCGTGTCGCGCGCTCCGACTCGCAGGCGAGTGTTATCCGTGCCGGAACGAATCGGCGTTGCCGACAAAAATTAGATACGCGTTCCAACTCTCGCATCATCCGCGTGCGCGCGTGTGTGCACGAGCGAAGGAAGTAAGTCTCGCGCACCGGCTTTCTCCCCGCAATTATCTCTCACATCCGTTTCCAGCCTTCCATTGTATCGAGCGAACGGAACCGGTTCGACGACCTCGCGGCGAATAGCTCGCGTGTAATTAATCGTAATACTCGGCCTGCACATCGAATTGTGGTTTTTTTTTTCTCTCTTGCGCTTATCGAAGCGAGCGAGCGCGTTCGCTGGCCCCCCTCGGGCACACAGCCGAATCGCCTGTGCGAGCGATAATCGGGACTAATTAGCACGTATCATAGGCGCGGTTCCGAGTCTCCGAGAGGTCCGGTCGATCGACGCGCGCCGGAGCGCATCGCGCGATGCCAGCGACGCGACGCCGCGGCGGCCACGTAATCTCCCGGAAGCGCATGCTTCGCTGTGATAATCACACGTAACCGACGTTTCATGCTGAAATGTCAATCACTCGTGAACGTATTCCAATTTAGCAACCGGGATGCCGTAATCGTTAAATTGAGCGCTCAAGTAGCTGGATCTAATTGCCTGAGAACCGACTTCCCTGGCCCTGGTATTAATCGTGGATTCCCGAGTCGAAATTTTGATACCACTCTGACGTTCTTAAGGATAATTTGCGCCTACTTAGACGATCTATAGATTAATAAAAACCTGCTTTGACGACACTGACCACTTTTCAACTTCTCTCTTGAATTTTTAATTCTACAGATTGAATTTTAATTCTACCTTCAACTATCTATTGGGTGAGTGCAAAAGTGTATGCGGAGTTTGTGAGTAAAAGTCAGACAGTGATTAGGCAAACAAAGTTCTTTATTCAATCAATGATATATTCTCCATTGTTGTCTATAATATTTTTCCAACGTTCTGGCAGCATACGGATGCCCCGATCATAAAAACTGCGCGGTTTAGATTCGAAGAACGAAGACACGATGTTTTTTAAGGCATCCAAAGAGTCAATTTTTTTCCATTTAAATGATTTTGCAATGACCGGAACAAGTGATAATCAGAAGGTGCGATATCAGGAGAATACGGTGGATGAGTTAGGACATCCCATTGCAGGCTGTTCAGTTTGCGCAGCGTCTGTCTCGAAACGTGTGGTCTTGCGTTGTCGTGGTGAAAGACTACGCCCTTGCGATTTGACAAAATCGGACGTTTCTGTTTGATTTCTCGATTCAGATTGGTTAATTGGCGACAGTACTTGTCCGAATCAATCGTTTGACCAGCGGGGAGAAACTCAAAATAAATTATGCCCTTGCAATCCCACCAAACACAGAGCATCACCTTCATCGGGTGTAAACCGGCCTTTGCCATTGCTTCACCATGCTCACCTGCCTGTTTCCATGTGCGTTTGCGCTGAACATTGTTGTACAGGACCCATTTCTCATCGCCCGTCACTAATCGATCCAAAAACGGCTCGTTTTTGAGCCGCCCGAGTAAAAAAACGGCAGCAGAAACTCGCTGGATTTTGTTCCTCTCCGTCATCAAATGGGGCACCCATACATCGAGCTTCAAATCGAAACCGATTTTTTTTAAACGCCGAAAAGCGGTTGATCGGTCAACGTTAAGTGCTGTAGCAACTTCCTCTGTTGAAATTCGCGGAGTATTCTGAACTAAAGTTCGCACAACATCGTCATCAATGTCTGAAGGTCGACCTGAGCGTGGCTCGTCTTCAAGGTTAAACTGTCCGCGGCGAAATTTCGCAAACCATTTTTCCACAGTTCGTTTAGCTGGTGCTTGATCTTGATAAACCTCTTGAATGTTTTTTACGGCTGCTGCAACGTTTATTCCTTTCCGAAACTCGTAAAGCATAATATGCCGTAAATGCACCTTTTCGACACTCATTTTGAAAGTAATCTTTCTCGAAGCAGTTCGTATCTACACAAATTCTTTTGTTTGAAATGAACGCTGCACACGTCACCTTTCCAACAATATGTCTTACGGAGATGGTGGTATTAATGACAAAACTTTACGCCGCTTCTAACGCCATCTATTGCACCTCCGCACGAACTTTTGCACTCACCCAATATTTCGACTAAAGCAACGAAAACGCAAATTTAAGATATCATTAGAGTCAAAGTAAAATTTATATATTATTAGAATTATGAAATTCAACCTTTATTTTAGCTCCTGCAGTGTTGTAAAATTAAAGGTTTAACATAGAACCAAGTTTTCAACTTAGGTGCACTGACGAGTATTATGGACGTTAACGAGCAGCATGGATTAATATCTCGAGTCGACTTAAACGCCGAGGGACTTTCTCGCGCGCGAATTTCCATCAGCGGAGGAGGATTGGGTGTGCCTGACGCAACTCAGTATTTGCAAACAAAAGAGGACGCTGATTACAAAATCGCCGGTGTACCGCGCATGGTCACCGCCAGTGCAGCTCGGCTCCATCCCGTGAACGTGGTTCAAAGACCCCGCATGGTATATTTCTGGAAATCAACATACAAGGTACACACGCGTGTATCTCTGAGTACAAAAGTGTGCAAATAGCGCATCGCTAGACCGACGTAATTGTAACGCGTTAATAATTCAAATGTGAACGCGATGTCGTAGATCCAGTATACATCACCGCGCGATTTCTACGTCAGAATATACCAGGAGGTACTGAGATTATTCTTGTCGCTTGGCAGATCATACGTCCCTTGAAATCCCGCGATAGAGAAGTTCTATTATACATATCTGTTGTCCTCAATGTGTCCTCAATGTGTCTAATTATAAATCCGATAAATCGGAGAACGAAGTTTCGTTTTCTAACTTGTAATAGAAACTGTTTGAATAAAAAAAAGGCATCTTGCGAATCGTTATCGCAATTATGGATGAGTTCTCGTTTTATCCGAGCTTGATTTTTTTTCAGCAATTTTTCTCAAGGAGATTGTAAGGTTCAATGTCCTATTTTCAGCGGCGCATTAAAGGGTTTATTCATAAATTTAATATTTATCAAACAAAATTACGTTTCTATACATTTATTTCACCATCTAAATAATTAATTTGAAACGACATTGAAGTAAAGCCATTTACACAATATTATAAATACAAAAATACTTTTCATCTTTATCAATGCTATATTTATACATCAATTAATTTAATAGAAATGCATAGATAGTAGAAAAACATATATAAGTGTTTAAATATATGCATGTAAGTATGTATTTTGAGTATTACGATAAATTATGAACTTGAAAAAGTCTTATCCCCCTCCCCCCCAAAAAAGGGGGGGGCAATAATTTTGAAATTTGTATATAATGTCTGCATATTAAACTTTAATGTCATAATATATATACGATGTCATATCATCAAATCTTATTTTTGGTTTAGAAAATATTAGAAATAGAAATTAAAAATAGCAAGTTAATCTCAAGGGACACGTATAACAAGCGTCAACTTCAGTCGCAAATATCCAAGCTCTCGAATGGTCAATCTTGTTCTAATCGCACGAGCAGTTAGACAATATTCCAATGTATGCATGGTACTAGTTTTATCGAATTCTTATCGAACTCGTTTTATCTTTGAACCTCCTTAATTGAGGTGAATACTCGACGAGTTGCGATGATCGCCGATCAGGTTGCACGGTGAACGCTCACTATCGCCAACATCGGGACACTCCCCGTGCAGCCGAGCTTTTTCGCCGTGACCGGCGATTATTGAATAATCTCGAGCTCCATATACAACCAGCGTGAAAGTCGTAGCGTAAAACCGTCAAGTCCGCCTACCGTACGCTCGCTAACGTGTATACGTCCCACATGGAAACGATGGATGTATTAAGCGACGACCATATATGAGCATCGTCGTTCGAAAGCTAAGATCGCCCAACCCTATCTACCTCTTTCCCTCCCCCTCCCTCGATATCTCGTCTGACCGCAATGTATGTATATGTTATAGCCAGATATGAGTCACCAATGTCACCGCTATATATAGACATGATGACTGTCAAACCAACACGATCGTGCAATTAGCATAAGCGATGATCGCTCGGTTTATGCACCACGACGACGGCGCGGCTCTGCTTGTCCCCGTTAAATTCCACCGATTTCTCTCCGAGTCGGTCCACGAAACTAATTTCGCGGCTGTACCAGGAGCCAGCGACGCGGCCGGCGTTGTTAGACCGGAAGAAGCGCGAAAGGTCGTACCGTTATTCTAAATGCACATGCCGACGTGTTGCATTCTACGCGTTGCGTAACTCGTCGAGCAGACAGATACAATTGGTCCATCAGCGGTGCTCGTATCGTGGATCCCACTGGCTTTTAATGAACCATCATTTATGCTAAATAAAAGGGACGGGTGTAGCAAGGCACGTCAAAAGCCATGGTAGACTATCTAAACTACTTAGAAACGAGTGCCGTAAATATATTAACTAGATAATCAAAATCTGCTAATAAAATGCAATGAATTATTTCTTTAGGAAGTTCTAATTATGCTGATATTACGGATTTTAGATCGGAACGTTTCGCTCCACTTTCATTCCTAGGAGATACAAAACAGCTTAAGCGCTCTATTATGCCATGAACCGCCGATAAGAGCCGTCAGTTGGCCGTAGTAAACGATAAGGCAATCTGACTAGTGAGAAATGCACTCTGAAGACCCAAAGCTAGCGTTTTGTGTTACGAAATGAGCAACCCTGCGAAAACGTTCAGTTACAACGGTGACAAGTGTCAAGTATCACCATTGCTATCAACAAATGTTACAATTAAGATAATAAAGATCATAATGAATAAAATAAATTCTATTCCAAATTCTCTCCAAAGAAGTATATTATTTTATTTGCTTAAGCTAGAAATCATGAATAATCGCTAATCTAACAACTCATTTAAGTAGACATTCGATAACAAAATAACTTCTATGATAGTATATAAAACTTCCCGGATGAGAATGTAAACTGGTCGTATTGACTGGAAGACGAGTTTAGCTCGTAAATTTTTTCTAACGAACCGGACATTGAAGAAAGATGGTGTAATGTTATTATTGACTAGTGTGATAAATATCCGTAGACGATAAAGACAGTAAAGCAGCTATCACTTACATATATGATTGTGGCAAGATATATAAATTTTAAATTATTAAATTTTATATACATATAAAATTATATATAATATCGATAATTGATAAATACATAAAATTTATTTTAAAAATAATATTTAGATCATTATTGGTAACGTTCACAGAGATTCTGCAATGAAATTTTAAAGGTGAAAAATAAAATAGCAATCGTCATTGAGTCGCGAGGATAGATGTACCCAGCCTTATGGACACGATCGATACACCTGGCTATATCTAGAGAGAGGGTCGCTTCGTCGGCAACGCGAAACGGTTCGAAACGGGCCGAGGTGATGCGGAGGAAAATGGCGAGAGAGGATGATATCGCTGTCTTCCTTTATTTGGGAGCGTGTTGCCGCGCTACGTGAGACTCGATGTCCTTGGACTCGAAGGCGTCATTGAGTGGGCATTTATAATAGTTACACAACAAGCACCCGTCGTCGTCAAGTAAAATGTAGTTTGCATTACGGTTCTTACCCTTATAGAGTGCAATTTTATTCGGAACACGCAATTTTGCATATCTTATCTCCTAAAAAAATAATCCCGTTGCTGAAAAAACTCCTTCGACCAAACGTATGTATTTCGCTAAAATAAAAAAAAAATGAAGTGATATCGAAGTTATTTGTATCGCGTCGAATGTGTCTTTAGAACACAAAGAAAATACAGTCTTTCCGAAGCTAATCATAGTAGTAATATAATTTAAAATTTTGCATCTACATTAATACATGACCTTCTAGTCTACAAGTTGGCAAGAGTTTCTTATTGTTTCTTTAATTTTTCTATATACTTATCAGATTACACTCCTTTGACGATATGATCCGATTATCGCTAAATTTTATCATATTGTGATGATTTTTTAGATTAGATGAACGAACAATAACGTATCAATTACATTTATAGTTACACAATTGTTAGCGAATTCGTTGACGAAACTGCTTCTCTCATGTCATTATGTTCATATTGTGAGTGCAAGGGATATCTCATAAAAAGATGGGACAAAAAATAACCTCTGATATCACGCTAGAGTGAAGTCGGATCGATTGAGATAGACAACTCGGCAAACGGGCAATGACTTGGTGCAGCAGCCTTAAAAATTACAGAAGCGTGACGATGGACATCGGCCAACCTCTCCTCGATCTTTTTGCCGTTCTCATAAGAAATCTCTCTGATAGGATCAATGATATCATAAAAATTCTCTCAGTCTTCTCATTATAAAGCGAAAGAACGAAACGTGATTACTTCAGAATTGTGTTGATTCATAAATTTCGAATAAATTTTGTTCTCTAAGTATCATTTTGTTCACGATATCGTCAAAATTCCCATAACATCTAACGATATAAAAAGTAATAAGTAAAAGATAAAAAAATGATACTAAGGATTGATCAATGAAATATCTTTAATAAATCGACAAAAAGTATAAAAACAGCACCGTGTATAATTCGAAAGACGCCGATCCGCGTGATTGACGAGAAATCGAGCGTTGGAGCGTATCTGGACTCACGACTTACGTATAGCCACGTGTCATCGGTCGTCCGTTAGCGAGCGCCATATAAAAATTTTCAAATACGCCCGCCCATCAACGTGTAGCCGTTAGCGCGATTACGACGCCACACCGGCCGACGAACGCGACGAAGGAATTTCATCTGCAGCAAGGCGTGTGCACACCGAATGAATGAATGTGCAAGTTGAGTAAGTTATTACACGTAGCAAACCGCATTCGCCGTTCATTCGTTCGGTGTGTATCTACCTTTAGGACGCGTTCATACGAACATGATCGAGAAGATTTCGCAAAAGGAGAGTTAGATATTCAGAAAAAAGATATAACCGTTTATCGAGTAACATCGCAGACTGCTAAATGTAAAAAATTGACTTAAAATCAGCATATTATATTTTACTGATACATAACACAAATAATATAACTGAATTCCCTGTTTTATCTCTCGCTTTACTAGCGAGTGAATATCGTGAAAAGTCCAGCGTAGTAGCGTCGGGATATCGACGCTCCGAAGAGTTTCAATGAGTCAGAAAAAGCAAAGGGGGGGAAGGGGGAGAAAAAGAAAGAAAAAAAGAGAGAGAGAGAGGAAGAAGAGATGCGCGCGCAAGCGGTCGATGTCGCCGCGTACAGCGACTATCTTCACGTCGCCGAGAGGTATGCCACACCCACCCCGCGTAAACCGGACAATGACGGGCAAATTCGGCGACTTTTGCGAATAATTCGCACAGCATGCGCGATTTCGCGATGAAACAGTGATTTATGGCGAGCGCAGAGTAACGTGCATGTCGAGTACAAGGATGTATCGTAGAGAAGATGGCCGTCGTACAGGCATCGACGACGACGACGCCTCGTTCCGGAACGCGGTGGCGCGACATGAGAAAAGAACAGGGGGGAACAAAAAAAAAAACCCGTTAGACTCGGCTCGCTCGCGCCGGCCGGCCGGCGCGAGCTCCTGTCGCCATGACAGGTCTTCGACCGAGCGCGCGGGCGAGGCACTGTCGTTTTTTCGCATACCAACGAGACGAGCGAGTCGAGAGATTCCGCGCGCCGTCGGGAATCGTCGCAGACGGCATATACGGCGTTCCTCCAGAAGCGGAGAGTACGGTCACTCGGTGAAGAAAATGGCGTGGCTTCGTATATCCGATGTATCACCGGGATCGAGAAAATATCTCTCGCGGTAACCGACGCGATTCCTCGTCGACGAGATCGTTTCGCAAAGTTTCCGACGGAGACGCGGGCAAAGGTCGAAAAATCAGCACGGTAGAATCCCGGCTCCGGTCGTACTAAGGGCGAACAAAGGAACGCACGACACGCGGCGTCGGTTCGTTCGATCGCGACCCGGCCTCTCTTTCCTTCGTTCGGTGTCGGCTACATACCTTCGCTCCAATTTGGTTGCCGCACTGACCGGCTTGGATATGAACGATTTCCCTCATGTTGCTCGTGCGA